TGCCAAATCCCCAATCAGCTGAACTGATAAGTGCTGAAACAAGAACAAATTCGAACGTTGTACTTGACACGGAATCTTGATCGTCATAAAATTTTCTCTAAAACAGTTTTTTTAGTTTAGTTAAATTTAATTTTAGTTTTGGGAGTTTTAAAGTTGATTTTTTCGAAAAAAGTTTTTTTTTTATTAGAGTGAGAATTTTAAAGTTTGCTAAGACAAAAATAAGTTTGTTTACACCTTTAGATAGAGCACAAAGTTCTCTACAATACCGCGCCTCTTATTTTTAAAGATTTTTTGTTTTAGCTTTCAATAAGTGCAAAAGAAACAAAATTGCTAAATTGTTCAATTTATTTTTCGTTTTCTTTTAACCCAGCTTACTCTATGTAAAAGCTTTGCAACAAAAAAATATTTATACAACTTTTTTTAACAAAAGATAAGTCATATGCCCAAGGTTTACTTAGAGTTCACAACTACTTACAACGTTACTGCTGACATCATCAACTCTTTGCTGTTTAATTTGAATATATGTACCGGATCTAATTGTTTTTTTTTTTATTAGCCCAGCATTTTTTTCTATAAATAAAAATACTTTTCGAAAAACCCCTATTATTTAGCCTCACAAACTAAGATTTTAGAGGCACGCAAAAGTGCTTCGAATTACTAGAATTATTAATAATTAAAAAATTAAAAATTTTTTTGAAAGTTTTTTGTGTATATTTAATATAAGTTATTTTATTGATTATTTGTTTCGCAATTTTTTGTATGTTACTAATTACAAAAGCGGTGATTATCGTTAAGCCCCACATTTAACATTAAGCTTCATATAAAAAAAAAAAATGTCTATTAAATCAAAACGAGTTCACTTAAACATATTTAACTCCGCTACTCGAAAAGCTAAGAAAAGAAAAGTATTACTATTTTAATGATTTCAATGCAGATCTACTGGGTTGTAATGAATCTGATCATATTTCTTATTAACTCGACACCTTATACTCATACGCGTTACTCGTTACTCGTTTAAACCTTTCTTAATTTTTTTTTTTAAACTTAACTCTCTATCTCAGATCACACGGCACTAATTGTTTTGCACCTGACACAGCCAGCTAACCAAATAAAGTTAAAATTTTCAGACTTTAAAAGTTTCAATCTTAACAATTTTGAGATAATCAACTGGAAATTCTTGATTAAAAAAAAAAAAAAAAACATAATTAATCAGCTCCTCAACTATTTTTCAAAACATTTTATGAAATCTCAGACCAAAATGTTCGCTTTAGGACTTTACCAAAAATCAAATCAAACTTAAATTTAAATCCAGAATCTCAAAAGTCTACTTAAAAAAAAAATGTGTAAAACAAAAAGTAAAAAAGTTTTACTTAAATCTATTTCTGTGAATAAACTTTAAAAGAAATAAAGGTTTAAAAAATAATAATATTAAAAATAAAGCACTAATTTTAAATGCTAATGAATTATCGCCAAATAAAAATTTTTAATGAAATATTTATTTTCATTTTTATTGATAGTAAAAACTTTTTAAAACAAGTTTTTATTGGAGATATTTTCAAGAGATAAATATTTGATATACGAGATATTTTCAAGAGATAAATATTTGAGAAGTTTGTTAAAACTTAAACATCGAGCATATTACAAAGTTTGTTAAAACTTAAACATCGAGCATATTACAAAGTTTTAACTTTTTATATTGGCTTTAAGGCGTGCTCTGACAATATTTAAAACATATAAAAGCTTTTATAAAACTTATTGAATTTGCTCAATATCTGTTTGGATATAATTATTTTCCACAATTTTAACGGATTCTTATATAGACGGCGCACTGTGAGTCAGAAAGGTGAAAAAACGGCAAAAATTATATAATTATCATATATAAACATGTGATACATCAATACTATTGCATTTTGGGTCAAAAAATTTAAATTTGATATTGAAAATAATTTAACAAATACCTATGATGCGTACAACGCGTACTCACGCGTGTAAGTGTCATTTACGCGCGCAAAGTATGATTTAAATAAAAAAATCGGATTCCTTAATCCAAAAAACCATATAAAGTAATACCACATTTTTTTTAATACAAATTTTTCTTGTGCTTGAGGCTCGTACTACGTGTTAGAGTCTTTTACGCGCACAAAGGCTGACTAAGTTTACATAAATTAGGCTATTCAAACTAAAACATTTACTAATTAAAAAGTAAAATTGGATTCAAAAACTCTTTTAAAATTATAATAATATTAAAATATATTAAATACAAAATAAATACTTATCTTATTTAATTTTTCTTTCAAGAAAACAAAAAAAAAAAAACCTAACATTAATAAAAAAGCTATATTTCCTTATTACAACTTTAACAATGATAAAACTTTAGGGGTTAGTGTTTTTCCATTTTCAACCTTTATATTTTGAAACAAATGAATGATATTACAGAATCACTTCTAATCAACAGGTGTTGGTAATGGCTTTTCATAAAATTCTTTCTAGATATCTTGGCTGTATGGTTTATTCTAAATTTGCAAATTTTCTTATTTAAAGTCTCTTGTGACAGATGGTTACTTCAGAGTAGTAACCAAATGGCAGTTCTAATGCTTCAGATATCTGCACACCATGTTCCAAGAGTTTATGAACAGTTAGGGGAATCACATACCAGCAATAGTTTTAAAGTATAAGAGCTGTAGTTTCATAACAATACTGGCCAAAACATTCAGAGTTCAACTCATAACACGAGCATACTGATATTAAGGTTGTCCTCAATCTAATAGTTTATTAAATCTACTGTCTCTCCCGTTATATAAGCGAAAATTTCAGCATTTTCAAATGCCATTATGGCAGTGTTTCCATCGTTAGTGTTGCCGAAAGCATGTTTGGGCATATCAACTTTAAGACTTAGCTTCTCTCTGAACCTCTGTTTAATTTTCTTTTTCTACTTTTTACTGATACTTTTTCAGCAGGGAATATGGCAAAGTATTTTTTAATGTCTAACTTATATCCTAAATTTAAAATATATTCAAAAGATCTGAGCCAGCAATGAAGAGTAGAAAGGCGCAAAGAAAATTTTCGTTGATTAGCTTAGATCTGGTCAATACTGAGTTATTAAGTTCACTGGGCTTAGCTCCGCAAACATTACACAATTGAGAGGACAGAGTATTAGTGAGGGCATTAACCACTTTACCATCAAACATGGTTAAATCTATTTGAACATAAATGTGATAGTTGAGCAGCAGCGGCATAGCGGTAGCGCACTTGCCTCAGAAACAAAAAATCCATGGTTTAAGCCCTACCTCTGGGCAAGTTTTGCAACATCGGTTAGGAAGGAGGCGTAAACTTTCAATTAAATGCTTATCTGCGGTGCTCTGTAGTAAGACCGTTAGAACTTCTTGAGGGACCTAAAATAAATTAAAAAAAAAGAAAAAACTAACCTCCCTTCAATTTCAGCAAACCTTCTTATAGAGTCTTGGTATTCCATAAAAGTTAATATCCTTGTCAGAATATGATTAAACATACCCTGTAGAGGAGTTAAAGTAGATGTTTCTGTTAAAATTAAAACCTCAGAATAACATTTGTTTCTCTCATTCTTAATTTCATCAAGTGAAGGATAAATACCTACACGATGTATTATTGATGAATTTCTAATAATTTGATACTTTTGATCGGAAAAGTTACACTAAATTTTTAAACTCAAGGTATCTTCGGTTTTCATTTTTATCGGAAAATTCATGTCCGTGATATTAACTTTTTCAGAGTTTGTAGCACTTTTCATGAGAACAACAAAGTCTTTTTTCTTAGGATCTCTAGTGGTTTTTTTAATTGAAGCTAATGCCAATGCTTCAGCAGGATGTTCAGCCAATTTGGCAACCTAAAACAAGATAATATTTAATATTTAAGCTAATACTATAATAACTATTTTTTAAACTGGGTTGAATTTAATTGATGTATTATTACCTTAGAATTTAATTGATGTATTAGACCTTCTATTTCTATCACCTAAATCTTCTTAGTTGTTGCACTTTCTACCTGGACCTGCTGCAAAGTCTTTTTTTGTCAACAGTTACATATTTGTTCAAACAAGTTCGCTCGTGTTCTAAATGACTAGAGAAGGTTCTTTAATGTTTCTGCAACTTTGATCGGAATTTACATTTAAATATTATTTGAGTTTTCTTTAGATTTATCATTTCAGGTTTGTCGATACTTTCATAGTATAGACCCTCCAGTCTACAAAACTTACGTAGAAGAACCTCGATTAAGTAACCATGATTAATTCCATGATTAATGATTAAATAGGAACTAAATGTATTCTTTTCATGTTTCATGATGAATGTAAGCAATGAATTTACATTTGTACATGTTTCATGTTGAATGTAAGCAATGAACTATTGTTAATTATTTTATACGCAAGTTTTAATTTTAAAACATGCACTATGCCGTCAAATATTGCATACTTTGATTTTTGAGGTTTGATAATTAGCACCACCTGCTTGAGTTTTTTTACTAATAGGAACTAAATGTATTATTTGTGTGATGAATGTTAGCAATGAACTATTGTTTGCTACTTTATACGCAAGTTTTAATTAAAAACGAAAAAAAAAAAATAATAAAACGAAGTATTTAAAAGGTATTATTTTAATCAGGGCAAGTTGGGGCAAATGATTTTTACTTTTTCTGCTTTTATATATAATTATTAATGGGAAAATATTAAAAATACCATGAAATCTAGTGGAAACTTTTAATTTTTTGAACTAAACTCATAATTAAACTAATTTAAAAAAATAAATTTTTGACATATTTTTGAGGTCTCAGTAATATATATATATACATACATATATATATATACATATATATATATATACATATATATATATATACATATATATATATATATATACATATATATATATATATACATATATATATATATATATATATATATATATATATATATATATATATATATATATATATATATATATATATATATATATATATATACACACACATTCATATATATAAATAAAGATATTTACTATGCATATATTATTAAAAGTTTATTTCAAACATTTTCTTATCAGCGTTAATAATAACGGGATTGATTTCTTGATAAATATTTTCATACTTATGAGACAATTCTTGATACTCTTCAATTGAAAAACAAGAATTCAAAGTGTCTGTTAAACTATTTGAAGATGAACTTTGTTCTTTTATTTTTGTGGAAAGATTTATTGATTTGGCATAACTGCCAACTTTGCTTTGTTCAAAGGTTTCAATTCCAGATTTATTATCGTTTTCTAATACTTTATCAAGATTTGCTAACGCTTCCTTAAAACTTCTAAATGAATTTAAATCGTCATTACCGAAAATCTCATCTTCTCTATAAATATTCGTTTGTTCAAAATTTTCTGGTCTAGAATTATCTTTATATGCTGCCGAACTACTTTCCTCAAATAAAGATTGGTTGTCTCTGTTAACCAAATCTTGCTCTAATGCCTCAAGATCAGACTTTGAATAATTCACTAAAGGATTAGCTCTAAAGTTTTGATAGTAGTTAACATCTGTGTTTTCTTTATGCCTTAAACTAAATAAATAAAACATGAAACCTCTTAAAAATGATATATTGCCAAAATTTAGTATAACGAATATATATATATATATATATATATATATATATATATATATATATATATATATATATATATATATATGTATGTGTGTGTGTATATTATATATATATATATATATATATATATATATATATATATATATATATATACGTATGTTATTTTTTATATGTTTATTTTATGGTACATATATATTGGTTTATGTGTGTGTGTGTGTGTGTGTTATGCTCCTCAAATAGTTGCAAATCTCGAAATCCTGAAAGTAAAAGTCTAAAAGTAACCAAGAGCGTTGTTAGTTGTCATTAGACTAAAAAAATTTTTTTTGAAAATACTTACTATTTAAACTACTTACCTTGAAGTTAGAACACATAAGTTTTATTTTTACTATATAATAATACTTATTACCTGGGAAGTACAGCTATAACAAATATTAGCAGAACTAATAGTACGCCAAGTGTTGTTAACAGTGCATATAAACGTTGATGACTAGAATCTAAATAAGATGTTTATAAGAATAATCAAACCCAAATTTCCACTTCACTCGTGAATAAAATTTATAAATAAACGAGGCCCAAAAGAAAGCATTATAAATCTGATCATCTAAAGGTCTTGTAGGTAAAACATTGGTTAATTTTACTTCTGGCGTTTTTAATGTTACCATTGGACCTTTTTTTATCGTAATTAACATTAAATTTTATCTTTTTTGACTTTTCTTAACGTAAATTTTTTTTGGCTTTTTTGACATTTTTTTATTTATTTTATTCTTAAATTTTTTTGTTCTTTTACCTTATTTTTATTGTTTTCTATTTGTTTGTTTGTTTGTTTTAAAATCATATGGGGATATGGGTGCTGAGTGCATATAATTAGACTATTTAATTTAGCTATAAACTCCTCGGGGTGTACATACATAAGCTGAGGAATTTTAAACTTTTTACGGTCTTTATTTTTAACTTCATTTTTAAACATGTGTTGTGTGCTTAAATGCCCAATATAATATTAAGTAATTTACGGTCGGTGAACAAAATAAAGTTGATGTTATTTGAAAGAGCTCTAAAAACTCTTTCACTATTTTTCTGTATCATTTTCAGCTAGTGCAACCAAAAGCATATGTATATTGGAAACAACTTTGGAAACAAATTTGGAATATATATATATATATATATATATATATATATATATATATATATATATATATATATATATATATATATATATATATATATATATATATATATATATATATATATATATATATATATATATATATATATATATATATATATATATATATATATATATATATATACACACACTATCTGTCCATAATTATTTGAATGGTCATATTTTTTGATATGAGATATCAGAGTTTTACTTACTATTTAGAGAGGAATTCAAAGCAAACTCTACCTGAATTTTATGTTAACTTCCTATTTAATAGGTTTACAAAAAATTTAATATAAAATCCGCTTAGATTACTTTATAGTTTACTTGTCTTTTAATCATCTTTAGCGACAATAACTGCTATACATACTCTTTGCATTCTACTTAAAAACTTATCCAAATTTCGATGATTTCAATGCATAAGATATAGAAAAAATAAATAAATTTTTTCCACATCTTATGCATTATTACACATTTGTTTTTGACATTACTTCCCAAAAAAATCCGATAGAAGAGAAATCTTGTGATTTGGGAGGCTAAAGCATTCTATTCAATATTTGATTGTTCACGAACTCAGTCAATTAACTTATACAATTTTTTTGTAAAATATGTTTTGGATTTAAGGTTTAAGTCATTTTCTTCTGAAAAAATTAATGGCTTTCCATTAAACCATCTTTCTGAAGGCGTGGCGTCCGAAGGTGAAGGTGTGAAGGTGTGGCATGATTTTTTAAGTGTATAAGTGAACTACTTTTGTTATTATTATTACTCCCACTATTTTTACAAAGTCACCAAGTTGGCATTCCAACCAAAACAACAAAATTTAATGTCATTCGAGTAATTATAAACGGTAGTGTGTATATATATTAGGAGAGATAGAGAGAGTGTGAGAGAGAAAGAGAAATGTAAATAAACAACCTTCATTTAATGCTGAACAGTCTTTTTCACAACTTTTTTGATTTTGCTGTAAGTTTAATAAAAAATAAAAAAGCAAATTATTATTATTAAGTATTTCACCATAAAGAAAAATTTACAAAATTATTGATTATAAGATGCAAATATACGACTGGGAAAAAAGAAGACAAATTCAGTCTTATTACCACTTAAAATGTAAAAAAGTATTTACAGTTTATGCCAAGTCTCTTAAAATGCAAAAATATATTTACAGATGCAATGAGTTTTACTTTATTGCATTTACTATTGAAGAAAAATATGATATTTATAAATATAAAATATGATATTTACCTCAACTAAAACTATAGAGTAATTAGTTTTCAAGATAATGCATTGGTACTGAAATTCTACCAGAGAACATTTCATATCAACTTGCTCCAACTTTACGGTTCCTGAAAATCATAATCAATCTAGGTAAATCAAGTTATAGGAAATCTTATTTTACGGATTTAAATGATTTGTTATAGTCTAATTGTATTTTGCATTGTTTCAATTTCTCCACAATATTTTAATAACTAAACATTTTAGATTTGGTTGTTTTATTTTCCTTACCTAAACCCATGACAAAAATAACTAGCGATTTTTTAAACAAAAGATTTACATTATACATATCATCATATTAGGATCTGATTTTTACCGCAAGTTCATTTAGAGTCTGTTAAAGATATTTTTCCATTAGATGAATAAATGATTTATTTCAATAACTTCAAATGAATTGTATGAATGTAAAGATGTTGTAAATGAATGGATTAAATAAATATATTTATGTCTATTATTTAATGTTAATCCTTTAGTTCCTAAAATTGTTTTTTAGATATAAATTTTGTTGCGGAAATGCTTCTACTGTTCAAGAAAATGAAACTCTAGTTGCAGTTTAAGAAATAGTTTAAATAATGAAAAAAAATTCAGTATTTTTTAAATCGCTTTTCAAGATTGATAAACATTATTTAAGCATCTTGATAAACTGTAATGACCTTAAAAGTATAATAAACAATTATCATGTATTGAAAAGCCAATTAGGAGCCATTTTGCTCGTTGAAAATTCACTAATGAGTTTATAAAACCAATGTTCAACACGAAGCAAAACATGTTTAATTTATCAATCATTTTAACTTTACAATTGATAAAATCGAGATTTCTTTTTATAACTAAAGTTTCTTAAAATGTTACCGACTTCTATATACTTTTACATATTTTATATATTTTACAGGGTCTACATGTTAGAACCAGTTTTGCTATTTTAGAGCATTATGCTTCATTAAAGTTAAGTTTTTTTAAATGTCTTATCACTCGAATTGGTAGCATTTAAGTTTCATATTTGTTTTCTTCGGCATTCCCTCTGATCATGTTTTAAAATAGATTAGGTTATCAAACGTATAAATACGTAATGCGTATAAATACGTAATACATAAAAATGTTATTGTTAAAATTCATTAAGTAGTCCATCTTTTTTTTAAACACAAATATCTGCATAATCTTTTAATTTTTTAATTAAATTATTATAAAGAAATTAAAAATAATATAATGATTATATAAATTATTACCGATTATATAAATTATTTTCGCTAATGCATAGAAGCAAAGTATAGCAAGTATGTAACCACGCTATTATTATCCTACCCCGTTCATACTGACGAAAACACGTACTAAAACACGTTTTATTTTAAGCGCGTGTTATAGTTTTAATGTTATGAACTGTATAAAACAGCAACAAACATAGTGAAGATTTTTTTATATTAACCCAAAAGTTTTTTATTAACAAAACAACGTCGCAATATTGTTTTATTGTTGTTTTATACAGCTTTTTATAATAATTTCATTCGCTTTTAAAATAAAACGTGTTTTATCGTCAGTATGAACGGTATATGTATTTATTCATTCTTCATCTGCACTTGGTGTTGCAAGGTAAGTAAAGATTCAAGAATACCTATTTGTACAAATTTTTGGTAAAAGAGCTCATATTTCTGTTTCATACTTTTTGAACTTTGAAAATCTCTAACTGCCGGTAGTTACTGAACATAGAATAAGGTTTTCTATTTTTATTTTTGCTCATCATATTATAAGCTACTATATTATAATAAGTTAATATTAGGTATATGCGTCTTCTCGTATTCTCTTGGAAATTCGGTTTGACACGGTCAAACCGAATTTCCAAGAGAAACAAGAAAATTTTTTTCGTATCATATCGGTTTTTACGGAACATTTTATCATTCCCCGCTCCAAACAGATATTTAATTCCCGCACCCACGAGCAATACATGAACTTTAACATTCACCCAAAATAAATGCTCGTTTAATACTTACTAACTTAATATTTCGAAATTATGGAAAGTATTTTACAAAAAAAGATTAATGGAACACTGCGTTGCTAATGGTCTAATTTCTCCAAACCAGCATGGCTTTGTTCATTGTAAGGGATGCGTATCAAACCTTTTAGAAACTCGGGACATCATGACGGAAACAACTCACTGCAGACACGCAGTAGACGTTATTAACACAGACTTTGCAAAGGCGTTCGACAAAGTACCACATAACGCCTGCTTCATAAGCTGAGAGCGTACGGTATTCAAGACGCTCTCATTGACTGGATTGCAGCTTGGCTAAACAATCAATGTCAACGAGTGGTTATAAATAGCATTACTTTTGAATGGAAAGCAGTCACTAATGGAGAGTCTCAAGGCTCGGTCTTGGGCGCATTGCTATTCGTAATCTTTGTAAACGACCTGCTGGACAGAATTACTCATCATATGAAACTGTTTGCCGACGACAGCAAAATAATAGGGATAATTAAAAAGTCGGACAGCATCACTCTCCAAGATGACGTTGACAGAGCAGTGGAATGGTCACATATTTGGCTCTTGCATTTCAACGTTGAGAAATGCAAAGTAATGCATGTTGAGCGCGGATGTAACAAGTTAACGTACCAATACTCATTGTCTAACGTTGACGGCACCCGTCGTCCTCTCGAAAAAACCGCATTCGAAAGAGACCTTGGTGTGATGGTCTCAAATGATCTTAAAGTCAGACCGCAAATAGAGTCAGCTGCATCAGTAGCAAATAGAATGCTAGGGCGACTCAAAAAAACATTTCGCAATTGCAGTTTTTATTTATGGCGCACTCTGTATCTCACTTAAATTTGCCTATATCTTAAGTTTGCCGTATAAGCCTGGTCACTGCATTAAAAATCAGACATTGCCATTCTCGAGCAAGTCCAATAACGAGCAACAAAAACAATATTGACTATTAAACACCTATCCTATGAAGATCGACTCCAACGGCTCGGTTTAACAATTTTTAAAGAACGCCGCAAAAGAGCAGCAATTCAAAATCACTCGTAAACTCGAGCTTGTCAGTTTTGTCGTCCTGTTAAAATTTTCAAAAAGTAAAGATAAGTATATTCTAAGAGGCCATAACCATAAACTAGAACGTCAGATGGTAAAAAACTGTGAGGAGCGATATAACTTTTTTTCAAATAGAATTGTCGCCCCATGGAATGCGCTTTCGCAAGAAGCAGTAAACGCTTAATCCATCAATGCTTTCAAAAACAACATAAGAAAGTAACTTTATAGATACAACTGCTGCTTTGTCAAGCGTGGAATGGCAAAGTGGTATTATTAAAACAGATATAACTGACCATTTTCCAGTTTTTCTGAGTACATATTCTGCAAACCCTGAGAAACATACAAAAACAAAAACTGTATATGAAAGAAAAATAAATAATGAATCACTCGCCACGTTTCGAGACCTCTTACAAGAAGTAAACTGGGAACTATTGACTGATTGCAATGACGTAAATAACGGCTATGAATTTTTTATTCACGTGTTCACTAAGCAATACGAAAAGGCCTTTCCAAAATTTAAAAAAATTATTAAACCTAAAAGTTTGCTTAGTCCGTGGATGACGAAAGGACTCATTAAGTCGTCAAAAAAGAAACAAAAACTTTACCAAAAATTTCTTAAAAAAAAGAACTACAAAAACGAAATAAAATACAAAAAATATAAAAATTATTTTGAAAAATTAAAAAAGCAATCAAAAAAAAATTACTACTCTTCATTACTTAATAAAACATTTGGCAATGCAAGAAAAACTTGGAATGTAATTAAAGAAATAACAGGCGTGGGTAATGTAAAAAAAGACAATTTCCCAAAAAGATTACAAAGAGATGACAATTTAGGTGATGCTTCTGTAAATAAAGAAATTGCAGAAACATTTAACAACTTTTTTATAAATATAGGAAAAAAACTAGCCGATGCAATTCCGGAGGGAAAAAAATCATTTAAATCCTTTTTGAAAAAATCTGATTTCTTCATGGATGAGTCAGAGCTTTTGATTGAAGAACTTCGGCAAGCGATTAGTATGCTTAAATCAAATAAAAGTGCGGGTCTGGATGAAATTAAACCTGATATTGTAAAAGCTGTCTCTGATATCATAGAGAAACCCCTTTTCATAATTTTTAATCTATCCCTAAAAAACGGCATTTTTCCCGACCAACTTAAATTAGCAAAAATAATTCCAATATACAAAAGCGGCGACGACTCAATAATATCTAACTATAGACCGACTTCCATACTTTCCTGTTTTTCCAAAATATTAGAGCGTATTATGTTCAACAGGCTGTACAATTATCTTGAAAAAAATAATATTCTTTATCATAAACAGTTTGGTTTTCGAAAAAACCATTCTACGGAACATGCCGTAATTGATCTTGCGAACCAAATTTTACAAGGTTTTGAAAACAATTGTTACACACTTGGAATTTTTCTAGATCTATCAAAGGCATTTGATACTGTAAACCACAAGATTCTTATCTACAAACTACGTAGTTACGGAGTAGTTCACTCTAATTTAAAGTGGCTTCAATGTTATTTAGAAAACCGTAAACAAGGTGTACCATATGATCTAACATGCTCCCCATTTGAATCAATAAGTTGCGGAGTTCCACAAGGATCAATACTTGGACCTTTATTGTTTTTAGTTTATATCAATGATATTTTTTTGTCTTCAAAAATACTTAATTATACTATTTTTGCTGATGACACTAATGTTTTCTTTTCTGACTCAAATTTAAAAAATATTTTTTATTATGTAAACGCTGAACTAATATATCTTAATGAGTGGTTTATAGCAAATAAACTATCATTAAATATTGAAAAAACTAAATATATTTTGTTTGCTAAACCATCTCAATCCGAGAACCTTCCACTTAAACTTCCAGAACTAACAATTAACAATATTAAAATAAAAAGAGTTTTTTCAATGAAAATACTAGGAATAAATTTCGATGAACATTTAAATTGGAAAAGCCAAATAAAGTTAGTCGAGAACAAAGTTTCAAAGACTGTGGGGATTATGTACAGGACAAAACATCTTTTGAATAAAATATGTTTAAAAAACTTATACTTTTCATTTATACATAGTCATATTAACTATTGTAATATTGCCTGGGCAAACAATCATTCATCTTTCCTAAAAAATATTTATACTAAACAAAAGCAAGCAAGTCGATTAGTTTTGGGCGCAGATAGGTACGAAAGTGCCAAGCCGTTACTCAAGGAAATTAATGCGCTAAACGTATACGAACTAAATATATACCATAACTTGTTATTTATGTTTAAACTTCAAAATGAACTAATTCCAAAATATTTTTATAAAGGTTTCTCTCTAATTAACCATAAATATGAAACAAGAC